TTTCACTTTTCCCACTAAATATTATTTATTCCCACTTTATTTTTTAATATTTTTACTTTATTTAAAACTTTTTCAATCGTGCTTAATAACATTTACTTTTTAGTTGGCAACGCTGGGTGTGGTTTTCACGGTTTCATTACACAGTTTTTCCCAGCATTTTAACAGGCAGGTACTGTAGCCGCAACGGCAGCAGTCAAATCCTGCGTGTACGCTTGGAGTTCCTAACAACAACAGCAACAACAATAATATCGGTATTTTGTTGTTGTTGTTGTAGAAATTCACAGTACACCGTGTTATTCTTTGAATATAAAATTTCAATTTAATTTGAATTAATTTGAATTTTCTATTTTTTGGTTTTGTTTCTGTTGTGCTTGAAGACTTATTCTGCATGTTTTGCCTGTATGGACTTGCTTGTTACTCAACAACCGACTACCGCCCACATTCAGTTAGATTCACAATCATTTTAGTGGTTTCAATGTTGTTCCTTTGCACGTTACTGAAGACGGGTGCTTCGCTTAGTTACCAGAATTTTGCAATATCCTGTGTATCCTGCGAGTATTTGCAAGTTTTTATTGAAGTATTCTTATACTTCTGTGGGTATGCCACGCTTAAAACTGCGAGTAGAGGCATATAAATAAAAATAAATAAAACTTAGAGACTTCCATTTGCAGTCCTCGTGCTTCGCTGCACCCCCCATAGGCGTACACTGTTTGTACACTGAGCGGTTACCTATTCACACAATAAATGACTATAATGCTTCTAATTTTCTATTATTAAACTTTATTTTTGGTATATTTTGCATTTAGGCTTAACGTGCATATTTACTCAAGTGGAATCGCCTAATGTGTGATAAGTAAGAGGGGGGAAGATGTAAAAATCATAGCAACTACAGCAGTTACATTGAGGCACATTGAGACACCTTAAAGCAGCAACAAGCGTAATTTTTATATAATATTTTTTTTTCTGCTACTCTACTTAAAATGTATCTAAATTGCTATAAAACCGCTCGGCAATCCTACTGTGATCTTTTAATGGATAATGCATGAGCTCTTTTATGATTTGCCTCTGACGGTAGAGCGGCCCAGCATTTCATTTAAATTTTAAATTAAAGTGACTGAGTGTGTAAATTTATTGTGCAATGAAAGCTCAGGAGAATTGTGTGAATGATTTTTTTGCTTCACAATTTTATTTCATGTTTTTATCTAAACACACGTTTTCACACGTTTTTACGATAGAATGTAAGACGATTTAGGAATGTTAAAGAATTTGCTAGAGTTTCAAAGGTAGAAGTCAGGCAATGTTAGATTTCGGTACTTAGACAAAGCAAACTGGTAATTTTTTTCCATTACTTCATTATTGTAAATTCTAATAAAAAAAGGATAAACCTAAGTACCTTGATTAAAAATTATATAAATTGGTATTAATTTCATGTCTTTATATAAAAAAAAAAGAATTTTAAAGACAGCTCTAACCCACTACAACAACCACTTATCGTTTAGATATATCTAAAGTAAGACTTATATACGTATTTCGCGTAATTTAAATAGATTTTACTTATAAACACATTTATAGAAAATACAAATCTATTCCACTGATCTACGGATTATTAAATTCTACCATCTTTCAGGCAGAAATTTTTGCTATCCTGAGAATTGCCTAATTAGCCCGAAGAGAGAAAGAAAACCCTCCTTCGAAAAAAAAACCAACACACTCTATATGTCTGTCTTGCTGTGAGGTGAAGTAGTTTGAACAATTACCAATAGCGATGAAAAGGCGTTAAAAGCATACGAGAGAAAAATCCTTCGGAAGACCTATGGTCTGGTATGTGTTGTCAACGAGTATCGAATTTGCTAGAATAATGAGCTATACGAGCTCTATCGTAAGATTGAAATAGTTAAGCGCAATCGTAATCATGTGGGTGCATGTTCAAATCACGACTGGGTCATCACATTAGCAATGATTTCGTATCGTTTAACCCATATACACTTACCCAGGTTTCAAAAAGTTGTCGAATAAATTTCAAAAGATCTAAGTTTTACATTTAAAAAGTTTGACATATACACATTTTCAAATTAAGAAAAATTTGCTCTGCCAACTTGATTGGTGACACCACCTGAGTGAAGTTAACACACAGTTAAGGCTTGTTTGTGTCGTGCGAATGAAAGAAAGTGTTCCGGCTAAGGAGGTTTTCGGTTTGGTATCCACTGCTGGAAAACACAGTAGAGGACGCTGAAGGCATCTCCGAAATACCAAGTGGCGACAGAAAGTTACTGATTGGGATATCTAGCTGGGGCTTCTGAACGCAACCAAGGACGGCTTACTTTTGCACTGACCAATTAAGCGAGTAAGTTAAGCTACATTTAACTATTCTATATATTATTTCTTATTGAGGACTTTATAAATACACATTTCTAATCTAACTCTTATAAAAAATAAACATTCTTTCATAAAAAGTACATAATTTTTTGTTTATATGTACTTGTAGAATTTCATTGTATAAATCTCATATAAAAATATAATTTAGCTGAGGAGAGTTAGAGGCAGGAGTTGAAAAAACTTTTTCTATATAGTTAAGAGCATTCAAATAGTTTTGATTAACTTACCCAAGAAGGTTGAACAGATATATTCTGATATTTGGTTGCCGGATCTGCTTGATTCACTAAAGTGTGAAAGTTCTTTGTTGAGCATACGTTTGAACTGAAATTAAATTAATTTAATTAATTAACAAAATTATTGATTTAATAAAAAAAGTACACTTCACTATAATAAATCTTTTTGAATAGTGTGAAGTGTACTCTTTGAAATTCGAAGAAAATGTACTTACCTTCAACGATGCCATGTCTGATACACTGCGATGTGTTTGTATGGTTTCCAATTGATCCAAACACCAGTCTAACTCCTCGATAGTATCGGTGGCTAAACGATTGTATGCCTCATCACCTTGAGCCAATTGTACACTGGCCACTGAACCACGTCCAACCGTTGATGATTGCGTTGGTCGTCTGGATCTTGTTTGATTAATAAATGTTTTCCAAAACAAAAACAGAAACAAAAACAAAAACAAAAACACAACAAAAAGCAAAAGAACAAAAAGCCAACAACACAAACATATATACAAAAAGAATCACAAAGCAGCGCAACCATACAACAAAGCAACACAATACACCACACAACAACAGCAACAACAACAACGATAATGGCAATGAGTACAATTAGTACGAATGGTTATGAAGCAACAGGTGCAAGAATTTAAATTAAAAAAAAAATACGAATTACAATAAAATAAAAATAAAAATAAAATAAAATTGTAAATGAAAATACAAAAAAAGAAATTATAAATAAGAAAAGAAAAGTAAATGTGATAAATATAAATAAAAGCAAATAAAGCAGTTGAAGAAGAAGCATAGCAAACATTACGTTTAGTTTGTTTATGCAAAGGAAAAAAAAGAAAATGAAGTTGAATGGTTGATGAAGTTAAAAAAGTAGGCGTGGTTGTGTTGTTTTGTGATTATTGGTTTCATATAATAATTATTTGTTGTTGTTGGAAATTTTGTCAGATTATGAAAACATTTATGTTGTACATCGAGAACGAAATCACATCACAATGGATTTTCACATTTAGAAATTGTAAAAATATATTTTTTTATTTTATTTTTTTTTTCGATATTATTTTGATGCAGGAATTCAAAAAACGGAAGAGTTATGCATATAAAAAGAGAGAAAGAGAAAACAAAAGAAAAGAAAATTTGAGTTAAATTCTGGTGTACAACAATTGGATGGTAATAATAAATATTAATATAATTAACAAGAAAATTAATTCTTCACGTGAAACATCGAAAAAAACACATATTTAGGGGATTTTTTTTTCAAAATAAATTTTTTTTATTATTAGAACAAGAAGCGGCACTGCACTACAGAGAGGGAGGTAGATGGTAATAGAGAGAATGATGTAAGAAAAATATGAGCTTGCTTTTAGGAGGCTTTCGTTGAAGTTGGACATACGGTGTTATCAGTAGTGAATACGGAATTAATCGAGGACCTTAATTAGTTTAATGTTTTCATTCAACAAAAAAAATTAATACATTTTTTATTTTAATATTTCGTTTAACGTTAATGGCTCATGCCACACTAGAGTAATTGTTGAGGATTAAAATTGTTGGATTGATTGTTAATGCTTTCTACACTTCATGAATTCTGCAGGTTAAAAATTCGTATATACGAACTTTGCTTGGGTGTGTGGGTATGTAAGAACGGAAAAGAAATATTTTGAGAAGTATGTATTTTATATCGTTTTGACATTAAGAATAAAATGATCGTGTAAATGTAAAATATTGTGCATGTATTGTTTTTATAACCTCTTCTGAGTAAACTCATAAGTAATCTTTTAATCCACTAAATGCTGTGAACTGTGCGAAAACTGTTATAAAAACTAATTTTAATCTTCGATTCTTTTCACAGCCATTACCATTAAAAGGCTAATATTAAAACAAAAAGGAACTCGTTAAGAAATTAAAGTATTATTCTGAAATTAAAACCGATTCTAGTGAGAATCGGGAAAACAGAATCATTTTTATATTTTTTTAGTGTTGTTAGAAAAGAAGATTTAGAAATCCTATATGCACCTTAACAAATTTTTTTTCAAGATTGAATTTTTAAAAGTTCGTAATAAGCTACATAATGACTTTTTAATCTGTTGACATCCGTCAACTTACTAAAAGATGGTTCTAAGTCAGCTACAACATGTCTCTTTAAAGAGTAACTAATGACGTACTAAATTATGTAAAAATTATCTCTTACTTACTGAGATTTTTATGGCAGCATACTGAACCAACAAGTTTAAATAAACACTTCCGGATACCTTCTACCCAACTATTTGATGTCAATAAAATTTAAAATTTAAATTAAAATTGGAATGCTTTTCGGGGAAAATGGAGCTGCTAAACTAATATATAAGATATAAAAACACTTTTCAATTCATCCCTATGCTCTTGAAATGTTGAAATATATCATCAGAATATTTTCGATTTTCTTTTTCTTTACTTAATATGGCATTAATATTAAGAAATTTTTTGAATAATTTTTTACATTATTGTATTACATAATAATAAATATCTATTGTTTATTAATACATTATTTAGTTTAATAATGTTATGCATTAATAGTAATACACCTCAAAAAAGCTCATGCTCTTCATGTTAAGTTAAGTAAGGTTTGTAATATTACATTTCATTATTTATTCGTAAAAGTCTAAAGGTTGGGATCTACACACCAATATTTGAAAAAGAATACACTTTGGTTAGTAAAAAATTTCGTTCAAATCCTTAACAAAATGTGCATTTAAAGGGTTAACAATTAATGCAATATAAACTGGAAGTTACTCACTTGTTTGAAGCTGGAACATTTGTCAGACTTAATAGATTATTCCGTACTGAACGTAAACTGGCCAAAATTTGGGCAAATGGAGTTACAATGAGATCTTCACCATGGCTGTAAGAGACAATTAATAATAATTAATTTAATATTTAGTATAAAATGAAATAAATTTATCTTAAATATTTGTGAAGAAATTGAACTAATATAAAAAAATAAAAATTTATATAGTATTATTTTACACATTTACATTATATCAATTCATAAAAAACAATATAATTAAAGACAAAAAAAAATTGCAAACAAAATTAAAAAAAAGGAATAAAATGGAATAAAAAAAAATTTTAAAATATATTAAAAAAAATTAAGAATTAAATTGAAGAAAAAAACTTAAGAATGTATTTAATAACATTTCATATAATAATATAGCATTAATTAATGCAGTTAAGTGATCAATTAATTTATATGATTGAATAGAATATGTACATTATTGTCTATTAGTTTATACATAAATATAAAATAAATTAAGAATATTTCAAATAAAATTTGAATACAAAAATAATTTTTACATATTTACTAAATTCGTAATTTTAAATTCAAAAGCTTTTAATGCATTTAAACAATTTTAGACCATAATAATTGAATAAAAAAATGGCGATTAATTATAAAATTAAAAATATAATTTATGTAAAGTTGAGCATAATTGTGAAAAGTGAATGCTAATTAATAACTACACATGCTTTCAACGCGCGATTATTGTTGACCTTTAAACTACTCGACGCGCACACCCCCCAATTTATAAGCAGATAATCCAATTTTACCGCCCACCCTCATCTCCACCCCCACAACTGCTTAAAATGCTTAATTAAATATTTTTTTTTTCTAATCATTTCAAAGGTTGCCAAAGTTGTTAAATTTTGTGAAATATTTTGGGTTGCGACTAAAAATATCAAGAAGTCACATAAACAGAAAAAAAAATCCAATGGAACGAAAAAATGTGATGAGGCATGTGAGTGTCACTTAATGACGTCATTCGCATTGGCAATTTAAATATTGCCAGATTTTTATAGATTATTCTGTGTAATAAAAAGATTTAAATTAATATTCTTCCCCTCACATTGTTGGTGTTTTATTTTGATTAAATTATGTTTTTGTGTGTGTATTAGTGACACAGAATTTCGGCACTCCATTGTTGTTGCTGTGTTTCGGTTGTGGTTGACATTAAAGCTAATTAAATTTAAATTTAAAGATTTTTCATATTTTCATAAATATTAGATTTGTAGCTTTTGCCATGCCATGCCGTGAACATAAATTTTCTTTGCTTAATTTATGAATTTTCTAAGAATTAATGAACCTTGTATCTGTGCTAAACATTCCGTGGACACAGGGACAGTAGGCAATGGCTTTGGCCTTAATTTAGTTGAAATATATGAGTATCTGCCAAAGAATCACTTTATTTGTTGAACAAATTTGGGCAGATAAGCCCTCAAATCTCAAGATCAATCAAATCCAAACTGGACAAGCAACTCACTCGTCACTAGTTAGTTAACTAGACGTAAACTTATTTCAAGTTTAAAAATCTTTCTGCAGAGTTTATTTCCTGCAATCTTTCACTATAAATGAATTTCTGGTTCTTTTTAGTGTTGTTAATTAGCACTTTTGCGCGTTCTAGGTGCTTTTAACTCGTTTTTGCATCTTTGAGCTTGCACTTTTGCTTATTTTTGGTTCTGTTTTTGCAAAACTAGTTTATCTTTGCTATTTGTTTTGATTGATTGAAACCGATAATGGGTTGTTATGGCTATTTAGGTAAGTGCATAAGTAACTTGCGTATTGAATACTGGAAAAAAAAGAAAAACAAGGTTGAGAAATAGTTTGGCTGCCAATATTAAAGCATTTCGCTCTGTTTGCTAACAAACCTATGACTCTGAAGAACATTCCAAGTATAAACCGTAAAAGAATAAATTTACTCTTCATTACATTAAGAAATGAAATCTTATTCTTGAGTATGTAGTAATAAATTGGTATTTATGTTTTAGCATAGATTGGTGCTTGGAGAGAAGAAAAAGGTCTACTGTCACTACAATAACTAGTTAAAGCAAAAATCATTCATTTTCAACTCATGTAAGGTAGATGAATTAGAAAGAGGATCAAATTCTTCTCAATTAGTTAAAAAACTTGTTTAGATTACAGATTCCTCGTAATTATTAAATGCAAGTAATATTGGAAATAACACCCAGTGTGTTAAAAAATTATGCGAACAATCGTTTAAGCCTGGTTCTGGACAAGGCTGTATATAGACACAACAGTTCTCCATTTCGACAGGTTCGATAGCGCAGGCCGACCCTGGCTAACTCTGGAAAAGTTGTATATGTATGTATGTAATCGGCACAGATGTAAGTTAAAAAGTAATATGTAAGAAAAATATAATTTATAAAGATAAATACATATAAAATACATGTAAAAATTATTTCTAAAGCATTAAATAATAAATATTATTTTATATAATTTTTAATGATATTGCTGCTAATACCCTGTACGTCATTGTTTAATTAATAAAAGTTTTCTTAAATACTCATACACAATGACGTCCTTGTTAATTTCCTTCTGTTTGAATTTATTTTAATAAATGAATGTGTATTTATAAAGTTGAAAAGAAGAAAAATTAAGAATCAGAGACACTTATTTCGGTGACCCTGTTTCATTAAAATGCCATCAAGAAAAATATTACAACAACAACACTAACGACAACAGCAACTAGTACAAAAATAACATGCAATACATAAAAAACAAATTATAGAAAATGTTCTGCCATGATTTCAGGCACGTAGAGTGTACGGCAACAGCACATAAAAAAGACAAAATATTATATACTCGTATATATATATATATATATATATACACAATATTTATATATTTTACATAAATATAGATTTATAATGTATAGAAAAATTATGTCTTTAGCTTTTAAAAAGATTAATATTTATTTTTCTATTTTTTGTTTTCTTTTTTTTAATTTTTTTTTTATTTCTTTAAATAAATTACTAATTTCAATTTGAGTAGAAGCGAGTTTCTGTAAAAGCAAACAAGAAAGTTAAGCAATCACAGCCCAACGGCTGCAATATAAACAACAACAACAACAGTTGTAGTAATAAATGTTACAGCAAAAATAATTTGAATTAAGCAGTTTATGTATTTTAACATATTTATGTTACTCATACTTAACATTAACAACAACAGCAGTAGTTGTAATAGTAAATGTTACAGCAAAAAAACAATTTGAATTAAGCAATTTATGGATTTTAACATATTTATGTTACTCATACTTAATATTAACAATAACAACAACTACAACAGCAGTCGTAGTAGTAGTAGTAAATGTTACAGCAAAAACAATTTGTATGGAGCAGCTAATGGCTTTTAACATATTTATGTTACTCATACGGACTGTGTGCCGTTTGTGTTGCGTTAACTTAACAGCAAATGTAAAATGTCATAAATTATAAGTGTATTACAAAATGTAATTATAAATGCAGTTGATTAAGCGATTAATTGATAGTATTACTTAATGTGTACCTTCTTGACTTAATTGAGAACATATTATCACGATCGGCTGTTATAGTCATAGCCAAATCGTCATGTAAAATGGCGGGAATCATATTGAAGAATGAGTGCACCCGAGGCAGCGACTGTGAGCCGCCAGAATTCTTATTCAACATTTTGCTTATTGCTTATTTTTTTTTGAATAAATATGTAGGACTAGATAAATTTATGGATATGTAAAATTGCACAGAATTGCAATTTGTTGCCCCTTTGAGCTAGAAATAAATTCTTAACTCGTAAATGAACTGCGAATCTTTGTTTGTCTTTTTCCTTTGTGTACAATTGCAGGCGTAATAATATTCATAAATCGCTTTTGTAAACTTCTGCGCCTTATTTCCTTAATTTCACAAACAAAACAATTTTGTGTCGCATTGACAAATTTTAGTTATTTTCACATTTAATATTTTTGCAGAAAAATATATCAATTAAGTGCTGTACTGTATCATAATAATATTTTGTATAGCTTTTAGAGGTAAACACTTTTTAACTTTGTTATTTTCTTATTGCTTATATTCAATTTCAATTTCACTTTCATAATTATTTTGTTTTGTAAATATTTGCAATTGTATAAATTATAATTTTTTTCACAAAATTATTTTAATTTTTTTTATTTAATTCATAAAAATTCTTCAGCTTCCATTTTTTAGTGTTTAGCATGAAGTATTTAAAATATGTTAAATATTTGTATATTTTTTATATAAATGAATACTGAACAATTTGCAGATATATAAGTATTTCTTTTTTGCTTTTTTAAAATTTTTTTAATTTTTTTAGATGATCGAAATTATTCGATTTGAAGACGTAAGGCACACGCACTACACTTTACAACGATTGAACTGAAAATTTTTGCTTAATGCGCGTTTCTCAGACTACCGATTTTCTTAGCATCATTTCAATGCGAATGCTGCGAGCTCTTTGAAGAAATCTTGAAATTGCCTAAAGATGTGCGATACGACGGCTGCTGTGCTGTTTACTCAATTCTTCACTGATATAAAAAAAAGAAAAAAAACAGAAAAAAAAAACAAAAAAATAATAAAATATGAATCTACACTATTAAGAATTTTCATAGTTATTTTTGAGTGAATTTCATTTCATTTCATTTCATTTTCTGTGGCTGGGCATATTTTTGTTTTCAACAAATTAATTTAAATCTCTTCGCACGCTCCTTGCCTCTTGCGCCGTGCCCCGTGCCCCTTGCACCATGTCCCATGATTTTCACTATTAAAATAATAATGTGGATTTGCTTGAATTTTCTCCACTTCACTTACCTACCGTAATAAAATTTTTAATAATATGAATTTGTTCCAAGAGTGCCGATCGCTGTGTTCTATTTGTTTGCCCATTTGTTCTTGC